CGTGGAAGCTATCTGGAAGCTATTTGTCAAGTCCTGGAGAGACGGGCAAGGGCAAAACCCAGCTGTGCTAAGGATATGGCAAGCTCACCCTGGAGCCATTAACAGCCCAAAGCCCAGACCCCAGTGCACCAGGGTCACACACCGGGGCCTTGGTCGTGTGTGGTGAGTGCTGTTCTGCAGCCTCTGTGCAACCGGTATGGACACAAAGGAAGTTTTCAGGGCTGATCACCCCACCAATAGCTCAGTCCAACCAAAATTCCAGTACTGAAACATACAGCAGAAGGAAGATAGTCTTGATATCACACAGCTAAGCCCAAATTAGGATTCTCATCAGGCATTTTATCCAGGCCATTCCAATGCCAAGTCAAGATGAAGAGACACTCATATGTCTTGCACTGAAACTAGTTACCCACCAAATGGGGTGCAGAGCCTGCAATGAACAATCCAAATGTTAGCCTAAGATGCATTTTTCTCTTCTCAGATAGCCTTTTTCATCCTATCATCTCATTGCATTTCAAAGAATGCATTAAGCCTCCAAAAGAAAATGGTATTGCCGCTCCACAGAGGAAGCTAAATAAAGAGCAGCTGAGATCACTTAGCTTGTTCAGCCTGAAGAAGAGGAGACTGAAAGGACACCTCATTGCAGTCTAGAACTTCCTCATGAGGGGAAGCAGAGAGGCAGGCACGGCTCTCCTCTTTGTGGTGATAGTGACAGGACCCAAGGAAATGGCCTGAAGCTGTGTCAGGAGAGGCTTGGGTTGGATATAAGAAAAGGTTCTTCACCCACAGGGTAGCTGGGCACTGTAAGAGGCTCCCCAGGTTTGTGGCCATGGCACCAACCCTGCCAAGATTCAAAAAGCAATTGGACAACACTCTCAGGCATATGGTGTGATTCTTGGTGCTGTGCAGGGCCAGGATTTGAACTTGTGGGTCTTTTCCAACTCAAGATATTCTATGAATTTTTGATTCTTTCTATTCATACAAGCAGGCAAACCACAGCAGAAAGCTCTAAGCAAGACATGAAACCTATCTAATCACTCTGCAGCATACCTGGAAATATACCCATGTACCCACACTCTTTGCCTTGTACTTCAAAATTATGCTTTCCATATCAGGCACTTACCCACACCAAGAACTTGGACTGCTTGTTGTACCACCCCAAAGCTGCTGTCCCCCCAGGTGATCTCTCTCCCTGCAAATGCTATGCTCTGACTTCACAATCTTCTTTAAGTAGATTTCAAAGGTGCTCCTGGCAGTCCCACTGAGCAGCACAGGAGGATCCTTTACTTCCTCTCTGTTTACACAACATGCCAAGACCAATTAATCCCCTGGGAATGAGCTCAGCAGCTCCAAGAAGTCTTTGTGACACCCTAGACTTCCTTATGCCTCAGGTGAACCTGGAGCCTTCAACTTTGAACCCAAGGATGTCCCTGCTCTCCCTGACCTTGTGCTCTCAGCACTGCCAAAAAAGCCAGATATGCTAAAGTGGCAGCAGCCATGCAGGGTGGCAGCGGGCTTCACTAAATAGCAAGTGGTTGGCAGCAGGGCCAGCAGGCAATGATGTGTCTGCCCAGGGACCATGATCAAGGGGTGCTGGGAGAGGGCATTCACCCAGCAAAGCGAGTGTCTGCACAAGCCAGGGCATTTCTGCCCAATTAAGGGAAGAATAGAAGTCTTCTGAGCTCATTTTCTAAGCCTTTGGAGAAGTGAAGAAAAGCATGCATTGAAATGTCCTCGCTCGGCCTCAACAGGGAGACACTGGGTGGCCAGCTGACCAGCCAGGGTGGCAAATGCATCTGCCAACAGTCCAAACTCATGTCTGGGACACAGAAGGGCTGAATCACTGTACCCTGTGAAGGTGGAAAGGCATAGCCTGGCATCTAACCAAAACAGGGCTTTTTAAACCTGCTCCTGGTACAGCCTTCCCTGCTGCAGGAGGCTGAACTGAAAGGCATGGACGATGGAGATTCCCCTTTATTCACATGGTAAGAAAGGACAGCAATTCCCTAACTTCTTTAAAGCACTCTGATTGCCCCCAACCCACTTGTCTCCCAAATTTGCTCCTCTTTTTTACCAAAAGGCACCAAATCACTGGAATACAGGGAGACATTTGGATACCACTTGCCATCAACTCATGGGAGGAAGACATCCCAACACAAACCCACTCCACACCTCAACCCTCTGGACCAATATTCCATCACCATCCAACATAAAGAGAATTTGATGCAAAGCACTTGGCATCTCTTCATCCACCCCTGAGTTACCCATACCACCTCACACCCCCAAAGTGTCTTCTTATCTCACAGCACATTTGCTTCAGGCACAAATTCATCTTGCCTGATACTCTGTCATCTGTCAGCTTCTCAGAGCTGCAGGGATGGGAAGTAAGGCTCAGGGATAAGAGTGAAAGCCACATCTGCTGCTCAAAAGAAAAAAAGTCTGGCTGATAAACTTTTCAGCTGTGTTCTCATGGGCAAGCATATGATAGCAAGGATAAGAATCACAAAGCAAGAAAAGCTTGATGTTTAGAGCCCAGATGAAGCCTTAGAGTAGCCTGTTTAACATTAACATTCCTCATATGCATCATTTACCTGACTAAGAAACACAGGATCCCACACACTGCCCAGGCAGTAAATAAGAGCCATTTTTGTCAGAAAATGGAAACAGACAAAAAACAAACACCCTGGTCCCATTTTGTAAGTGGGAAACGGGGGGCCTGAATAACTTTCATAGGAGAAATAAGTACAGGGAGCAAGCAAAGACTCATCATGAAGCTTCAAGATGTTACTGGCTGAAAGTTAACCAATTAGAGCTATAAAAATAATACAAATGACCAAATAAAATATTCAGGCTGCATTTCACTGTGCATGCCTGTGTCATGTCATGTTGTGCCCTCAGTGCACTTTCTGCCAAATTAAATCCACCAGCTGACTATCCTTTCTTTATAACATAGATCCCACAACCATGGAATGTTAATGACATCCACAGTAAAAATGTTATTTAAAAAACACACTGCCACTTCCACTCTAGGTTTCAACTTCTTTTGCAAAAATCTTTGCCACAATTAATCCAGAAGCGTAGAGAGCAAATGGACAAGGAGGCCAATTATTCTCACAAGGTTTTCCCAACAAAACCAACAGTTTGGAAAGCTCGTTTAAATTAGCCCCTAACCTTTATCAATACACTCCTGAAGACAGTGCTGAAAGATGCTTAAGGGAGAGCAGGCTATGCCTGGCATCTAAATCAGAGCAATCACCTGGGCCAAAAGAAACATTTTCTCATTTACTTATGTGCACTCTGAAAAACTAGAAGGCTGGGCACAGCCTTAGCAGCTTTCTTCTTCTCTCGTAAGGATGTGAGACTAATTAAAGTCTGTCAGTATCAGTAGAAGATTTGGGTGATGTGAAATGCAAGACTGGGCCTTTTGAATGTTCTGTGAGCAGAAACTTGGCTAGAAGGTTGAAAAGGGGGTGAGGAAAACCGTACTGAAAGCACAAGTCTCTGCATTATGTATTCATGGGAGGTATGCTGCCAGCAGGACTGAGAAAAACCAACAATGTAATAGGGAAATAGAAATCTCACTTTTAGGGTTCTTAGAAAATAAATGCACAGTCCTTTCTTTTAGTGGGTCCATCTTGTAAGCTTTAAGGAATCGTTGCAAGCAAGGTTAAAACTAGTACATCCAACAAACCAGAGGCAGTGAAATTCTTTCCTAATGAGAGGAAATTCAGAACTGAAAATAATTGTTTTTAACTTACTGCAATGTACCAGGGCCAGCAGATGTCTGCAGATATCCTTTTAAGCTGACACTACACCAGTGCAAATAGAAAAATAATGAAGAGACATGAAATACTAACTCTACAGCAAGGCCTTTTGAAAGAGAGGTGCCAGATGGGAACTGCACAGGGCAGCCTGCCCCATTTCCCAGGCTCTGCAGAGACAAGGCAAACTTCTAGCATTTCCACACCTCAGTCCAAGGCCAAACTAAAGTCCTGCAAAATCAAGAGTAACTGCATCTACAACAAAATGTACGCAGTTTGTGAAATGTTAAGAAGGCAAAAAGTTCTCTTTTACATGGCTATAAAACTGCTACGAGGCATAAAGAGATCTAGGCCCAAGGAGCTCAACAAGTGTGGAAATTCTTTTCATCATCAAGTTGACAACCCCTTTCAGCAAAGTCTCTTTTTATACAGGCTAAGCCATTAATTTATTTTGGAGTAAGTGACATAGGTCAGATCATGGAAGCAGTGGTAACTCGATGAAAGCAAATGCCAGCAATTTTGTTCCTGTGCCATGCAGTGAACTGGACAGTACAAGTGCTGCCTTCCTCCTGGGGTAGCAAGAGAACAGCCCAAGCGTGGCAGGAGCCACTCAAGCAGCAGTGCCTTCACCTCTCAGGAGGGCTATCTACACTTACCCCAATTTATCCTAGACAGACAGCAGAAGTACCCTGAAAGTGTGCCCCGAAGACACAACCACAAGAACCAACCCTATGAATTTACTGAACCTCACCTCTAGCCCCACATTTCTCTTCACTGAGAAAAGCAAGGCACAATTCTTCCCAAGAATGTGAAACCTAGATATATTCTCAGAACATCAAAGAAAGAAAACACAATTCCTACCATTTGCTGTACTTGTGTTTGTACAAAAGTAGAATGCAATATGGAGATTGTTTACCTAAAACCATAGTGTTTTGTTCCCTTGGCCTATCAGGGCCAAGACTGTGTGTGTGTCAGGACTGTCAAGTGACAGTCACAAGATTTGGTGCAGTGTGTGCAAAGTTGAGTGCTTAGCAGATTCAGTTTTAGATGTATAAAATAGTATAATATAATATAGCAATTAATTAGCCTTCTGATATCCATAAAGTCCTCCTCATCGTTCCTCCTTCATCAAGGCCCTCACAGCACCGCTATACTTGCCTCAATAACCCATTTCTGTCTTTGCTTACCAGGCCTTTTTCTCAAGCAATGTTGCTTTCCTTCCGTGAAGCTCTGCCTTACCTGCTGCATTTTTTCCAGGTCAAGGCTGGGCCTGCTGACCTTATCCCCATATCCCTGTCGGTGTCTCTTACAAGGCATGACCTGCTCAAGGCCCGCCCCGACGCTGGTGAAGATCAGAGGTGTGGAGGCCGGGCTGCGCACCAGGGGCTGCAGTCTCTTGGGAGGGGAGGCACTGAACAGCACGGGGCTGGGGCTGGCCTGGAGGCCGTCGCCCCGCTCTGCCACGGGCCGGAAGGACATGGCGCACAAGTTCTTCACTTCCTCGTCGCTGGAGGAGGCGTTGTTGCCGTCGCCGCAGCAGGTGAGCCGGCTGACCTGCGACCACTTGCGCTTCTCCGCCGCAAACTCCCGGTTGATGCGCTCCAGCTCCTCCTCCGAGCTGTGCCGGTCAAGGCTGGCGTGGAAGAGGGCCCGAACCTTGCAGCATTGGCTCTCCTGGTTCTGGAGCTGGTTGGTGGCCAGAGGAGTCAGGGCACAATTCCGTCTTCTCTCTGGTGGGAGGAGGAGATTGAGAAGTGGCAGAGCACATCTGAGTCCCACAGCCTATATAAAACGGGCGCGTTTCCTCCTGACCTGCTGTTTTCATCTCCTCCCAAGTAAACATCTGAGCTGTTTCCCCACCTTCTCTTCTCCAGATAAAACACCCCCCCCAGCTGAATGCTTCCCTTTGGAAGTTTACAGACTTTTTTTCAGACCAGACTGCTAGATGTCATCCCCTTTCAAACCATCACCTGGAAGTCTAGTTCCAGAGAAAGAACACAGATCTGTCACCCACCTCACCTCCTCAAGGTGGAGAAGACATGAGCTTACAAATGTGTTGCTAGGCACTTGCCTCTAGCCAAATATATTAACTTCTAGTGACCAGTTCTCCGGGCAGAAGAGCCAAGTTAGGCTATCCTAAGCGTCACCTTTATGGCTCAAATAAATGAGATCTGGTTTCTGGAAATCAAAGTCCTCTATGACAAGACTTGTCACACAAGAGAGCCTGTCTTCAGCCACAACCTAGGCATGCTTTACCTCTTCTGCTGAGCTCTTTTTATGCTAAGCATATGGAGCAGGGATCTGAATTCAAACAGGACATGTCCTGTAGGTCAGGAATTGAACTTCTGCTTCCTCTGCATAAGAATCTGCTTGAACCTGGGCACCAGGGCATACACTAATGGCAAACTTAGCATAACTTAAGAGATGCATTTACTACAGATTTCACCTGCAGCTCTAAGCTACTTCATATCAAGTCCAAAAACAACAGCAGAGCACCTATATCTTCTCTATCAAAGACTCTCACTAGATGCAAGAATATAGCTGCACAATACCAACAGTCTAGGAGGAAGGGAGAGAGATAATCAAATAATGAGTCCAGGGAAATGAATAAACTGAAGGTTAAAACTCAAAATAGCAAGGATGAGGAAACCCAGAACAAAGATGATCCAAGTGCAAAAGCATGGAATAGAAGATAAAAATTTAGTCCCAGCTCTGCTGCTGGCACAATTGTGGATCATCTCTGCCCCATGTCTCAGCACTGGGACTTTAGCACATGGTTAACAATGTCTGTTTCTGGTGATAAAAACGCAACTGCAGCATCTGATAACACCAGCCTCTCCCTGTGAGGTCCCAAATGCTTCAAAGGTGACTGATTTAATGCATCTGTTTGTGATACACTGGGGACTGGGAAGGAGGCACTTGCAAGAGCACGAGTGAAAAGAAAAACTGACTTCAGCCGTAGTATCCCGGGATCCTTCTATCTTCATCCCTTTACCTCTGTCGATCTGAGCAAGTTCCTGGTTCTCTCCCTCAGAGTCATCGCTGTCCTCATCACTTGGAGGATAGGAGATCTAGGGGACAAGGAGAAAGAAAAGGCTTCATCATGAACACTGAATATTGCTGCCCAAGCCACTTCCCCCACCCTCCCCCTCTCATATCCTGGAGGGAGCCACCCTACCTAACCACACATACCCAGCCATGGCACCTTCCTGTGCACATCCTCATCTCCCAGCCCCAACCTCCCATCGTACCCTCTTACTTTCAGCAACACAGAACACACAAACTACTGCTGCTTCCACCACAAGAGCTGCACTGCCAGCTCTTTCCCAAGTACAATGAACATATCCTGCCTTTCACTTCCCAGACATGTAGCTTACAACCATCATGGCCTACCACATCCACATCACGTGGATAACCGAATCTCCAAAATCGCCACTGCCGAGATAGAGACACATCCTGTCAACAGCACTTGCAAGGCACCCACAAATGGAAGTGGCACATTAGCTTTGGCCATCCTGTGTATGTACCCACACTTCCCCCTTGAAGTTCACACACAATCCACCACAGAACAGACTCATCTTGCTTTTCTACAGGCCAACCCTGAGGTATTTAATAGAAATAAAAGAAACATGATTTCACAGAAACACAGACAATACTGTTAAGCTGTCCCCTCCAGGAGATAACTTACAGTACTACTGAACACCTTTGAATGCTCTAAGATTACCAACAACTCACATATTTTGTCAATATCAAGACTTTTCAGGAACATCTGCTCTGTGTCAGCCAATGGACTTCAAGCCACTTACTCAAAACATGTCTAACACTGAACAAACCTGCTAGCTGCCTCTTGAGAGGACTGAGAGATCTGAAACCAAGCTTTTATAGGTCAGATAGATCACACTGCCTCTGAGTTTCCTACACAGAGGAAATCCTACCTACCTTGCTACTAAAGTGACTTTTGTTCAGCTGCAAAGAGCCTACCTGGAAGTTATTACATCAAACCATTGAGCTACACAGCTTAGTATGTGTCTCTGCAGCAGCCACAACCAAATGAGTCAAAGGAAAATGCAATACTTAAAAGAAACCTTTATAAGAAACAGTTCTGGAATAACATGATCACGGCAAGATGAACTCCACTATTCCTTAAACCTTTTTATTCAGAACAACAAACATGGCCATCATTCTTAGCTGCCTCAAAATACTTGCTCACAACAGAATCCAGCGGCAATACGTTTCCAAAGGTTACATGCTATGCTTCCATTTTACACCTTTGATGTGCTGTGCTTGACTTTTACAAAGAGGAGGCAAGCACAGAGCCACGACACTGATTTGGACCCATTTTACCTTCACCACCCTGGGGAGTTGTCTTTGTAGTGTTTCAGCCACCCAGAGACACAACAGAGCAGCTACACTTACCTACGGGTCTATGAAAGACACACTACTGATGCAGAGAAACAATAATAGTTGACAAATTCTGATTGATACGGAATTTGACAGCTATTAAATCAACACACCTATTTTGTGACCATCCTCCAGGACTGTGTTTGTTGCATTTTGTTCCCCCCAAAAGCATGAAAACACCTTCCCCCCCCCCTTATTTAAAGCTACCTTTTGCCCCTCTATATTTACATTGCCCTTTGAGAAATCAAAATATCTTTTCCTTTCTTGTTAGTCTTTAAACTACATTCTCAACAGTCAAAAGATGAATCAGGCAAGTCAGATTTCAGATTTATCCCCACTGCAGATATTCCTGAAGTAAACACAGGACGTTGTTTTTCCTTCTACAACTACAATTTTCTTGTATGTGTTCACACACATGCATCATTTAATAAAGGCAGCTGGCACTGAGGAACACTGCCAAACACAGAGACTTCTAGTTGTCCCCAGAGCAGGTATAATACCTTGTTTGTACCATGGCAGTTCACAGAGGGGACAGCTGACACTGAGGTGCCATTGTGTGGCTGCTGTACAGACAGACAGAGGTCCTGTCTCCCTTAGAAAAGCTAAGGCTCCCATTCTAACTGGAGAGGTACTGACCTTGGGCTGTGGCTCATTCCCACATAAAAACCTTTCATTTGGACATGGCAGGGTTTTCAGTGAGGTTTAGCAGCTCTGTGTGGGAAACCTAGCAGCTCCAGTTTCTGTACAATGTGAATGAATGTCAATACATGGCACAGCACCGATTCCAAAAAAAAGCCAATGACATCCAGCACATGCAGGTCAAACAGCCACTGCACAATGTCACTGGCTAGAGATGCTGAAGATAGGAGGTGGATTTGAGTCAATGACTGACGTTTGAAGTCTGTGTCTACCAGTCCTGGACTTCCAAAATATTCACTCTTTCCTGTGCAAGTGAAATTTTGTCAGCCCCTGGCCTCCTACGGGTAACTCTCCTGTACTGAGCCCTCCCCAGTCCCCCGGGGAATCAAAGAGCAATTCCCTTGTGAGTTGCCATAAACACTTTGCTAGAGGCTTTCTTCAGAGCACAGAAAAATCTTTCAAACAAGAGACTCTAGCTTTTATGTCCCCAACACAGACCCTTCATTCCTAGTAGGCTAACCATTAGTCTTGTAGAGCTGAAATTTTTTACCTGAAACTCCTTGCCACGATACCTCACACAGGCAAAGATTAATGGAAGATCAAAAAAAAAAAAATTCTCTGTCAGTTTGGATAACAAGACTTTCCAAAAACTAAAGATCTATGAAATCAAAGACTAATGCTCTGACTGGCTGAAGATAAATACTCTCTCCCTTGACTCTTCCCAGGCTTTAACAGTACCCTCTCCTAAACATTCAAAAACATTTCACTAAACACAGTACTATGTTCAGGCCTCTAGTCTCCCCTATATTAGCCACAGATTCACTTCTGTCCAAGGCAGTACAGCCCCATTTTCCTCAGAAATTCAGAATTGTGGCACTGTTGTAGCAGAAAATTGAAAAACTTCATGTCAAAAGTCCCACCAGATCATAGCTTCATTCAGAGCACATCAATTGTAGAATGGATAGATTGAAAGACACGTCTTGGTATCACATAGTCCAAGCTCTTGTTCTGTCGGATTTTGGTGCTGTTTAGATGGTCTGGGAAAAGCCCAAGATGGCCTTGGGTCGCCCGCGTTCCAAAGGACGAGAAGAAACTTCAGATTTGTTCTCGGTCTCGGTGTTTATTAATTGCTTATCTAAAAGATTTTCTCTCGGCCTGACAGAGTTCTGCTCAGCAGTCAGCCATGGGCACACACTGAGAGCCCCTGGGGCGGCCACCTATCTTTATACCCGGAGTTACGTATACAATATTTATCATTTTTCTCCAATACCCTCTACCCTTATTAACCAGTGTTCCCCTAGTAAGGTCCAATCCCAGAGTGCCAACACCACCACAGAAGATGGAGGCCTAGAGGAAGAAGAAGAAGGAGAAGGGCACGCCCCAATTCCTCCATCTTACTTCTCTAGACCCCCCTGTACAGGGATCTTAAACCCTGTATCTCACACTCCAATTAACTTATCCCTTCACCATTCACCCCGGTGAAATCCTCCTGTCCTCATACTGATGTCATCTCCCATGTGGGATCAAAGTCCAGCCACCAGACATTTCTGGCAACATTCCAGGACTCCCGAGCCCCCCAGGGGTGGTCTCGTTCACCCTGCACCCCAGTTCTGAGAGACTGAGATCCCACATTGTTCAAGCTGGAACAACTAGAAAAGTTGCCAGGACTGTGCACAACACACTTTCTGCCTTAACATGCGTAATTGAAGAGAATAGAAAAAAAAAATCTTCAATTCACATAAATGTGTGAATGTTTACAAGCTATGGCCCAAAAGAAGCCAAAAACCAAAGGACAGGAGGCCATTCACCCTTCAGTTTTTCTTCAGTAAATGCATCAGCAATCAGCCTCCTGTTGATGAGGATCACTCAGTGCTACACTTGGGACCTTCAGCCCTGGCACCTGGCAAGCCTTCAGTCAGGATAAGGACTCCTTCTGTTCCAGACAGAAACAAACTTCCCCATCCATCTCTAGTAAGGGAATATGGCTTGCTGTAAAATAACCAGATGGTATTTAAGGAAAACTTAAGAGTAAAGCTTATACTTTTGAGGGAGTTTTAACATGAAAGACAAACTAGGACATAAAAGAAAAAAAACTAGAGACAGAAAAATGTGTATTTCTGATCACACTGCTGCTTGTCAACTGAGTAATAAACTGCAGTTGAAATTGCACAGGTCCTAAAGGATCACATCACCCTCAAAGTCTAAAGCTCTGAAATACATCAGACAATTAAAAAGTCCCACTATGTTAAAGTGGAGTTCCTCTTGGTTTGGCTTCCAGAAGAGAAATTATCCTGCTATCATACAATCAAAAGCAATGATATTAAGAATCATCTGTGAGCTTACAAAGGATAAGAAATCTCACTTCTAAGGCAGACTAAAACTCTCCCACCAGGCTCCACTTACAGGCTCCTAAAAACCTAAAACACCAACAGCATGGTTTGGTGCAGCAGAGGTATGTTCATGAGGAAGGGATAATACAAAGATACAACTGACCACAGGCAACCCTGCGTTCCCAGCCTGAATGAAGAATGCCCACAAGCTGGAGGGCATCATTCCCAATCTCCCTCTGGGAGCAGGGGAGGGAGGGAAGGAGGGACTTTACCTCCAGGGAGATGGTTTCCCTGGCAGAGGCCAACACTGCCTGTGCTGTACATACAAGGCTGTTTGTGACCCAGGCTTGCTCACTTCAGGCTGACCACTGCTGGGAATCTCTGCAACTAAGTGAAGTCCCTTCCAAGAGCCCTGGAAAGAGACTTCGCTAAGTTGGTCTCACACCCTGGTTCCTGGCACACAACCAGAAAGCAATGGATGAGCTCAGCAATGACTACTGGTATCTCTGTGATGGGGAACTGATTTCCACTTCTTCAGACTTCAAACTGGAGAAATGAAACCAGTAATCACCTCCCCCCTGCTACACTGCCTACAGAACAGCTGCTACAGACATGGGCAACCTACAGCACAGGCCTCTGCTGCTGGCTCTTCTCCATTTCCACTTGGATTTAACAAAAACACTTCACCAAATTTCCCCTGT